TTTTTTTTTTTTTTTTTTTTACAGAATACAGAAACACATACTGGTTTGGAACAACACAAGGGTGAATAAATGATGATTTTTAAACTAGCCCCTTGCACACATCAACTGTTTTAACAGATTTACAGACCTGCTTCTCCAGAAAGTTATTTTTAAAGCGAGTCGGAATATTTAACAATGAAATCATACACAGTAAGAGTAAATATCACAGTAGCCCCCCAATAACACACACACAGATCTATTTTCACAACCCAGATACAACCTCATCAAACAAAGAGCACCTTTCCTTCCCATAAGAGCACATACGAAGCAGACAGACACACATACACGTACATACGTCTCTCCGCCCAGCGCATACGAGACACAGCATATGTGTTTTAAAAGGTGAAGAGGTCCAGAGGGCCTCGCTGTATCTGATTTTTTGACAAAGAGCAGCGCGGCCAGAAATCAATAGCGGCTGTTCGGGGTGAGGCCAGTGAGAGCGTAGGTGCCACTGAACACGGCCGAACACTCGCTGGCCTCTCTCTCTTCCACCCAGTTGAACCCAAACAAGCAAAGAATGGACTGACAACGCTTTTGACACTAGCCGTTTATTAGGCGCTTCGCGCTGCTAAAGCCAATGTAGCCCCCGCTAGCCTGCTGGCATTGTTGACGAGGTGACCATAGCGGAGCTGGGGACGTTTCACACGACGCTCCATTTGTCAGGGTCAGCGTCAGGAAAATTAGTGTTTATTCTTGTCAAAAAAAAAGCATGTGATGAATTGGTTTATTTATATGCTAAGGGATTTTTGGATCCCGCCTCTCATGCTCACTCGCGCTCACCTACAAAAGCAATAATTTCACCCTGGGTTGGTTCGAGGAGCTTAACGTTGCATACGTGAACAGCAGAGAAGCATGTAAACACGGCTGGTGACAGCAGACATAAGAGGCTGGGGTGGAGACATTAACCTTGAGGGTAATTCAGACAGAGACTATTACTGAAGCTGACATTTTTCACACGAGAAACAAACAAACTTATCTCCAAAACAATATCAGCGATATAAATAATGTTTGGAGCACCTAATTAATATATTTCCATTTTTAAGCAAGTCATTTACTTTGTAGTATATATTGTTATAAGTGTGAACTGAAGGCGACTGAAGTGTTAGTCTTTGTGGGAAAATCGTTCTTTAATAATTTACACTTTCTCTGCATGATTTATTTCAGAAAGAAATAGATTTAATTGTAAATACTTTCCTTTTCTCTTTTTAGTTTGGAGAACAATCACAACAAAATCGGTCTAACACCCAAAGTCATTCAGGAACACAATTGCAGACAATTATAATCTAACTATAAACATATTTTTAGTCTTTCAGCAGATCTTTATGGAACCTCACAATTGTGCTCCCATCACGCTCCTCCACAAGCTGAGGTGCAAAAGTGATTTCTGACAATCAGTCTATTCGCTCTTCGGCAAAACCTGAAAGAGTCATTACTATTAAACATAATAATGGCTTTTAAATAGTCACATTGTGCTTTGAAGCAGTGAATAATTTAAGGTTGTCATTGTGTGTGCCCGCTGCCCCAGCCCTGTTTAGCGTGGAGATGCCTGGTCAGGTAAAGCCGTACCTGAGACAACAGTCAGCACTGCCACATTTGCTTGAATTATTTATTTATTT